CTTCATATTTTTGTTTAAGAAATTCTTTCCTATCCTAATGACACAAAAATATTCTCCTATTTCTTCAAAAAAAAAGTTTTCACAGTTTGGCTTTCCACATTTAAATCTTTAATCTTAGTGTTTATTTTTGTGGGTGGTGTTAAGTAAAGGTCTAGTTTTATCTTCTCCCTATCTATAGCCGGTTGTCCCAGGACCATTTATTCAGTGCGGATTTGTAATGCTTCCAACATTATAAACCAAGTGTTTACTGTTGATTCCCAGACTCTGTCTTCTGTTTGGACTTTTTGCCTAACTTGTGCTAATATTACCACACGACTTTAATTACTGCAGTGTAATACTAAGTCCTAATAACTGGTAAAGAAATACTTTCTTATCATACTTCTTCAAAATATTCATGCCTGGTTTTGAGCTTTAACTTCAAGTAGTCTAGTCTCACCAGAATGTACACACGTGCATTCTTTTGAATTTTGAGTATACAGCAGTTAGGAATAAGTTGTGCAAATATGAATGATAATAGGAATCTGATTCCAAATGACAGACGACACAAAATAGCAGAAACTTAAACAAGGTAGTTGATTTCTGTCTCGTATAGAAGTTCAACAGTGGGCAACCCAGGCTGGTGGGGCAGCATCCTGAAGGTGTCAGCCCTCTGCTCCTTTGATCTTACTGCTGCCGTACCCTCAGCACAGGGCTTCCACCTGATCCTCCAAGAAAGGCGAGCTCCTGCTTCTGAGGATCTTCCTGGTTGACTCATATTCCCTTTCTGCTGACATACCATTGTCAGAACCTAGTCCACGTGGTGGGAAACTGAGAAATGTAGCAAATCAGACATACATGCACACCCAAAAATACCAAAACCGTTTTTTTTTTTTGAAGGGGGAAAATGGATATTGGAAGTGAACCAGCAGTCTGCTAGACTTGAGGTGGCAGTGTCTGGATAGATTATAGGATTGCATGTTACCAGGCTCAATTCAGGAACGTGCTAAATCTTTCCATTTACTTAGAGATCTTGCAGATCTTTTGTTTGATTTTATTCTTAACTACCTTATAGTTATTATTGCTGTTTATAAATAGTAATTTTTTGTACTTCCATTTTCTAAATGATTTCAATAGAGGGAATGTTACTTTTTAATCATACTCTCTTGTTCTCATGCTTTGTAAATGCTCTTGGATTCTCTAGGTAGACAGTCATCATTTGAATAATGAGTTTTGTTTCTCTTTTTCTGTCTTTATGTGAGATTTTTGTTTCGGTTTGGTTTTTGTTCTCATTATGCTGTTACTTGTACTGAATGCAAGAATTGGTAATAGGCATTTTTGTCTCTTCATGAATAGGTACGGAATTTTGTCAAATTGGTTTCATACCTATCGAGATGAGTGTTTGATTTTTCTCCTTCAGTCTGTTAATGTGTGGATTATGTTGCTAGATTTTCTAAGATTTCTGCGATAAATCCTAATATAGTACATCATACTAGATAATTGTTTTTTAAATATTGTTGGATTGAGTTTGCTAATATTTTATTTAGGATTATTGTATGGACCCAAGGAAAATAAACTATATGTTATATAATTGTTCTTCCTCATAATGGCCTTGTCTACTTTTGGAAACAATGTTATGCTAGTCTCAAAAATTAGATGAGAACCTCTCCTTCCTTTTCTGTACTTCAGAACAGTTTATATGAGACAGGGAGTCCTTAAAGGTTTCATAAACTTCACCTGTAGGTTTTTGGTGGGTATATTTTTAAGTACTGTTTCATTAAAGTAAAGTATGATATATATCCAGAAATGTACATGCTATATAGTAATAATCATACAAATATACTTTTTGTGTTTATTTTATTCATTTGAGAGATTATTATTTGAGAGATTCAGCTGTGTTGTTGCACGTCATTATAGTTCATTCATTCAAACTGCTTTATTATATTACATTATGTGAATATGCCATAATTTACCCATTCTCCAGTTGATGGGCATTTGGGTAGTTCCAGTCTTTAACCATTATAAATAATACTGCTGAGAACATTCTAGTTCATGTCTTTTGGTGGACATGTATTTGAATTTCTTTTATCCAGGAGTGGAATTTCTGAGTCTCACACATGGCTTATCTTCAGTAGATCTTCTTAAACTGGATATACTTAACCCTTTAATTTTCAGTTTTCATTTTTCTTAATTTAAGCTCAGTATTTTAAAATTACACCAACCACTTAATTACATCTCACAAACTTTGATAAGTCAGTAATAGTTTTATTTTATTCATTCTTAGATACCCTCTCATTTTCATTATGAGGGTTTCTTTGATTTTCAAATGTGTGGGGGTTTTTGTGTTAGTTATTATTTTGATATTGATTTCTAGCTTAATTGCATTATGGTGAGAGAATATAATCTGTGTAATGTTTATGATTAGGTATTTGTGAATATTTCATACAGGAACTAGTACACAATTACTTTGTAAATACTTTTCATGTAATGAAAAAGAATGTATATTCTCTAAATATTAAATGCAAGATATATATGTTCATTCAGAAATAAACTTGTTATTTTTATATTATTATTTTTTTTTCTGCTTGATCTATTGGTGACGGAGTTATATGTTGAAAAGCATATGTCGGGGGAGGGGCGGGGGGTGGGGAGGTGGGAAGAGATAGCATGGGGAGAAATGACAGATACAGGTGAGGGGACGGAAGGCAGCAAAGCACACTGCCATGTGTGTACCTATGCAACAATCTTGCATGTTCATCACATGTACCCCAAAACCTAAAATGCAATAAAAAAAAAAAAAAGCATATGTCTGCATATTTCTACTTGTAATTCTATTAATTTTTGCTTTCTGTATCTTGATGCTATTGTGTTGAATATAAATATGATGTTCATGTATTCTGTTGATTTTTATCCCTAATAATGCCTTTTTTTGCCTTTGAGGTCTATTTATTTGCCATGAATCTAGCAACACCAGCTTCGCGTTTCTCTGATTTTTTTCCATCTCTTTATATCAACTTGTGTATGTCTTTATATTTTAGATTTCTCTTTTGTAGGGAGGAGGTGAAAGGGTAGAGTGGCTTCTGTTTCCCTAATTTTTTTCACATCTGTTTGTTCTCTTTAAGGTCCTCCTGTGACATCCTAGTCTCTTTGAAGTGTGTAATCATTTTCAGATCTTCCTATTTCAGGTCCTTGGGGACCCCGGCCTCCTCTGTGGTGTGTGTGCCGACTTGCTCATCATGGGTGATTTCCTTGTGGATTTTGTAGTTTTGGATCCTGAGTTTTTCCCCACATGAGACTTATAGCTTTTACTATAAATCTCATGTAACCCCAGGGCAAGAGAATATCTCTGCAGAGTAATTTTGTATTTGCTTTTGCTTGGCTCCTTAGATATCTCTATCCCAAAACCAATTTTTATGTAACTTTTCGATGGGTTCTGAGACCACATATGTATAGTATAACTTGAACCCCAAATTTGCCTGTGGTTCTTAATTCTCAGGCAGGACCAAGATTCCTGCTGTCTCCTGGAGGAAGACAGGATTTTTAATTTGATCTTTTTCATCTCTTTCGCTGTGGGTACTGCCATTTGAAGACAGTATCTTTAGAGAGATAATTGAGCTCAAAATTGTTACCTCTTTCAGACCCAAGGCCACATCTTCCAAACCCAAACAGTGATAAAACCCAAGTGGTTCTGGATGAGCAGGACTGTCTGTGCTCCCCTCTCTACCAGGCTGCTGTGCGGTGTGGCTGCACTTCCCATGCCCACTTGTTCCTGAGGCCTTGGGACTCCACTTACTCCTTTTATGGTTAGCTGAGTATAGAAAGATTTCTCAGTTAATAGCATTTTTAGGTCTTTATGGTAGGAAGATTTTCAGATACTTAGTCTATAATTTTGTAAGGATTAGAAGACTTCTAGAAATAGAGATTGAAATTAATAAATTGAAAGATTGCCACATAGCTAGAAACATGGATTTTTTTAAAGCAGCATGTGATGCATTTTTCTTCCCATGTTGGCTTTTTTCTTGTTGTTGGTGACGTAGACTAAACAAGGAATGGCATTGCTGTCGGTCTTTAGGATCCGTGAAGCCACCCTGAGAAATACGGCTACTGATCCTCCCTTCTCTCTTTTTCCCTGTTTGTCGGATTTCCCTTCACACTCTCTAGCCTTTTGCTGAGTCTTTATCACAGCCTGCAACCTCCCTCCACTGTGTGTGCTCAGGATTCACTTCAGTCATAAGTAGAAGAATGATAGAGTAAGCCGGGCACGGTGGCTCAAGCCTGTAATCCCAGCACTTTGGGAGGCCGGGGCGGGTGGATCACAAGGTCAAGAGATCGAGACCATCTTGGTCAACATGGTGAAACCCCGTCTCTACTAAAAAATACAAAAAAAATAGCTGGGCATGGTGGTGCGTGCCTGTAATCCCAGCTACTCAGGAGGCTGAGGCAAGAGAATTGCCTGAACCCAGGAGGCGGAGGTTGCGGTGAGCCGAGATCGCGCCATTGCACTCCAGCCTGGGTAACAAGAGCGAAACTCCATCTCAAAAAAAAAAAAAAAAAAGAAGAATGATAGAGTAGGGGAGCATTCTAAGGTCTGTGATGGAAGCACTTGATTTCTGGCTGCCCACACTGACTTAGCCTCCTCTCCATGTCGTCCTTCCTGTCACGCCCTGCAAAGCCCTGAGCTCCTAAGAGTTAACTGGAGTTTGGACAGTCAGTGGCGTCACAGGTTGAAATTAGGAGTGTCTGTATGTGTCTTTCACTGCCTTCCACAGCCACTGTGCACAAACAGCTTTTGCACTGCTCATTACTTTCTTTTCTCCTGAGCACCTACTGCAGGCTGCCAATTTTGTCCTATTGACTGAAGGATGTTGTGATACTTTTGGATTTGAATTGCTTGCCTGGAGCAGATCAATGTGACACTTCATTCCCAGTCTATAGATGTAACTGCATTGAGAGAAAGCTCTTCCAAGCATTATGACGGTTCTGCTCCTTCTGTGTCTGATAACTGTGTGTTGATCTCTTTTTAGGGAGGAATGATCAATTGGAACCGTCTTTTCCCTCCTTTACGTCAGCGACAAAATGTAAACTATCAGGGTGGTCAGCAGTCTGAGCCAGCAGTGCCTCCTCCTCTAGAAGTTTCCGAGGAACAGGTAATTAATCAGTAACACTTGTACTCATCCTAAATCCATGCTTCAGAGTTGAAGCAGTTTTGATCGACAGGACTTGAAGGTAATCAAGCATATAAATACAAAGATGGTGACAGCTGTCCAGCTGCCAACCATGATAGAGACTTTGGTCCTTTTTTGGTTACTGTGGTTCTTATGAGTTTGAAGAAGGCATTATTTGGGCTGGTGAGGAATGCATTATGGTAGCTTGTTTTGGATGCTCTTACACTTCATATATACAAGAAACTAATGAGATTGATTTTCTGTAAACGATTGAAGGAGGAGGTGGGAGAATGCGGACGGAGTGCGCCTTTGACATGCTTTCACTTTTGTATGGTTTTGAGTCATGTTAATGTTTTACTTATTTAACAAGCAAACCAAAAGGACAGGGTCAAATGTAAAACTGAAAAGAAACAAACAAATGACCCAACTACATTTCAAATGAATAACAAATGAATCACATTGAAAGAGGGAAAATGGATTTAAATAACTTTTGAACCTGATATACCCTTAGTCTAAAGAAGAAACAAAAAGAACAGCAGACAAATCTTAAACACTTCTTCATAGGTTTAGTTTTCATAAGGGTATAAGTATACCAATTCTAAAATTATGCTGCCTGTATTATAGGTTTGAGCCAAGGAGGAACTAGGTTGATTTTATTATGGAAGAAAGAAAACAAAAATATAAAGCAGGGGAAGACAGGGAGAACCCTGTGGGGTTGGGAAGGAATTATCACTATCAGCATAAATGAGAGAGAGAGAGAGAGAGAGTGAGAGTGTGTGTGTGTGTGTACGTACGTACACCCTCACTCTGACCAAGAGGACTCAGAAGCAGTGGCCTCCTGGTAGCAGTGGGCATACGTACCACCCAGATCCGGCTTCTAAACACTCTACTGCACTAAAAGGAACCAGGCCTCTCTAGGGAAATGGTGGATTCCAGGCCCAGGGTAGGGAACATATAGGATAGCCATGGATCATCATGTGCCAGGAAAGGAAGGAAGTGATCAGTCACTGGTTGGACATGTCAGAAGGACACTGGAGCCAGCTGCTGGGCACATCTGGGACATCAGCTTTGGCGATCAAAACAAATAAAGGATAGTAAGAATTCATGCATTAGAATGATATTAATAAATATTTATATAAATACATACATTGGGGGAAAGGAAATGCTTTTCCTAAATGGAATGTCAAGTAATATACAAATAATGATAGTATTAGAAAATCACAAATTTGCAACCATTGTAATAAAAATCCATTCAGGGAAGTAACATCAATGAACTTAACCATTTTTCAGTTTTACAGTGGTGCAAAAGTGGCAAAAGTGATACATATTCAGTAGAAGCCATACATCAAATTTTGAGTTTTGCTCTTTTCCCGGCTAGCGATACGTGGTATGAGACTCATTTGCAATGCTGGACAGTGACTGTGTACCGTTCTGTTTTTCATTTGTAGTATAATACTCAATAATTACATGAGATAGTCAATACTCTAGATTTCTAAGAGATTATTTTGCCCAACTGTAAGGTAATGTTAAGTGTTCTGAGCATGTTTAAAGTAGGCCAGGTTAAGCTGTGATCTTCAGTAGGTTGGGCGTACTAAGTGCATTTTGGACTTACGATATTGTCAACTTACAATGGATTTATTGGGACTTAACTCCATGGTAAGTTAAGGAGTACTTGTACTCTCAAAGTATCCCTCCACAAGTTACTTATTAATTACAAAGGAAAATAGTAATTCTACAGAGGACACCACATTAACAAAGTTATCAAAATTAACATCACCAATTACGGAACAAAGAATCATTATGTTCATATCCTGAAAAGGACACATCAGGTATGTGTTACAATCGGCATGCATAACTTTGATCACAAAGGAAAATAAGATGAACTTTATTTGAGGGAGATTCTATAAAATATGTGGCCTGTGTTCTTCAAAACTATCAGTGCTCCAGAGTAAAGGCGACTAGGGAGTCATGCTGCCCAAGTGGAATATATGATCCTGGACTGGATTTTGCACTGGAGAAAAGTTTTTGATGAAAGGCCATTTTAGGATCAATTGATAAAATTGGACTATGCATTGGATATTGGTATTACATTAATTTTATATTTCCAGGACTGGGTACATACTGACCATGGTTAGGAAAGAGAATATTCTTGTTCTTAGAAAATATACACTGAAGTATTAAGGGAAAAATATATACATACACCAAAAATACATACACCATACTGTATGCAGCCTACTCTCAAATGGCTCAGAAATAATACCTGTTTGTGTCAGTATATAGTGTGTGATTGCGTGTATGTGTGATAGAGAGAGAAAGCAGCTATGGCAAAATAGCAATTGGTGAATCTGATTAAGGAAGATCAAGGGTTCCTGGTACTATTCTTGAAACTTTTCTAAGTTTGAAATTATTTCAAATTACAGCCTTTTAAAAAATCTATAAAAGAAAGTTAGGAGCATTGCCATCATAACACTTTGAAATTTCCTTCTGCCTATTGTTTTTTCTTCTCAGCAAACAAAACAAATTGAGATCAGCATTTCACAGCTGACCACACCATCCAGGCCATCGCCTCCCCATTCCCTGTCCCCAGAGTGAACAAATGCCAGGTACCTGCCTCTGTGGCAACACTTTGTCCTCATCGTTTCCAGAACTCAAAAGGTGCCCCTGGGCAGGGATTTCATGGCCACCCTGGGTTAGATTGTGACAGATGCTTTTGAGAGAAACCAGTGTCATGTGGCCATTGAATTGATCCAGCCCCTCCCACTTGTCGCTCCTGTACTCAAAGTAATGGTTTCAGCAGCTTTTCAGGATTGACAGGTGTAGTATGATGCCACAGTTTCCCCCTTCTACCTCCACTAGAAAATTTCCAGACAAAGGTTATCCCCATGGATAAGAAAAGCCCAATAACCTGCCATTTGTAAAATCTTTCTATAACATGTTTATAAAATAAGATACTGCTGTAAAATTCAGCTGAAAAGAAAAATCAAAATTCTGTTATATTACTGTTTACTTGATACATCAGTGAGTCATATTCCTTATGGGGCAGCCGTTAAGATGAGGTATTTAAAGGTGATATATTTCTCAGTTTTGGCACTTTAGGGGAAAAAAGGTGTCAAAAAGGGAGAAAAAGGAGTATGTGTGTGATTGAAGTCTTCAGGGTTTTTTTAAAAAATGAGTCATTTTTTTTTTTATGATCCCAGAATGATAACAGCGAAGTTACATGTTGTCAACATCAGTTTAAAACAGTGCTTAATTTCTTCCTTGCTCTGCATTGTGAGAAGTTGTAAAAACATGAGGGGTTGTTCTTAACATATGCTTTCTTATACATTGATTTTCTAAATCTTGTTTTTGGTGTTGATTATCCTGAAAATAGGTTTTACAAACCATTGTTGCCTTAAAGACGCAAACTTCTTACTGATATTATTCATTCTGCAGGCTCTCAGTGTTTCTTGTGGTAGGTACTATAGAGATTATAAAAGATAAAAAAGAACTGTTCTTGCCCGCAAGATGTTTACATAGAAGTTTTAAAATTTATAGTGTAGTCTCTTAGCCAGTTTGTTTAGCTACTGTCTAAAATTTTTGTTAATAACATAGTTTGAATTAACAAAAGCAGGTTTTTGCTTAATTTTTCCACTGAATGTGTTTGTATTTTCTTCATTTAAATATCAGAGTCATGTAATTTTAGTGCAGTAAGAAACTTATTAATTTTTTAAGCCAAGAAAAATAGAAATGATTATATGAGTTTTTTCTGCTGTAAACAAATACTTCAGGAATTTTAGTGAGAGTTCAAGAAAACCTAGTAGATGTGAAATGTATGCCATGTACTTTGAAAACAGAACATTATGAGAAGGATGTGCATCCTTTAATAAATCCAATAATAGTTTGGTAGCCATAGAAATCTTTTGCTACCTTTTCTACTTTTGCCATTTTTGCTATTATTAAGATTCAAGATTTTTAGTTCTTAAGAATCCACTCCCGTTTTTTTGGTGAGTAGACCCACGGCACCTCTGCCAATTCATCACCCCTCAGAGATGACACCCCCACCCCTTTTAAGAATATGCCAGGCCGGGCACGGTGGCTCTAGCCTGTAATCCCAGCACTTTGGGAGGCCGAGGCGGGTGGATCACAAGGTCAAGAGATCGAGACCAACCTGGTCAACATGGTGAAACCCCGTCTGTACTAAAAATACAAAAAATTAGCTGGGCATGGTGGCGCGTGCCTGTAATCCCAGCTACTCAGGAGGCTGAGGCAGGAGAATTGCCTGAACCCAGGAGGCGGAGGTTGCGTTGAGCCAAGATCGCGCCATTGCACTCCAGCCTGGGTAACAAGAGCGAAACTCCATCTCAAAAAAAAAAAAAAAAGAACATGCCAAGAAGGAGGCTGCGGTGCAAGGCTGGAGAGTGTCAAGCCACCCGATACGCCCTGTGCTGCCCAGCCAGCCGGCTAGATGGTCAGGATGGTGACATCGACCCCTGGAAACCACAGGGCAAGATGTCTGCTCATGCCTTCCCTGTGCAGAAATGCGGGGGGAAGATCAGAAGAAAAACTCAGAAGTTCTTATCAATTTCACAGAACTTTCCAGGTGCACTGAGTGTTGGAAGATAATGTCTGGGGAAAGAGAAGTCTACATTTGATGGGAGGACAAAGATGGATATAATAGGCTGTGGCGGGGAAATGAAGGGTTATGGACCAACTCAGGGAAGCAAGGGGAAGGCCCCTAATGCCTCCCAAAGACCACTGCCTGTTCTGTTCAGGATCCCACCCAGCATCAAATCCATAGACCCTGGGGTTGCCTTTGGAGATGCGTAGACAAGCTGGGTGAGCTGTGGAATCAGTGACTGTGAGAGGCAGCTTTAGGACAACAAGGCAGGGAAGCTGCTGGAGACGGACAGGCGGTGTCAGCAGCTTTGAGTCTAAAGGGAAAATGGGTGGCACGAAGGTCCTGCCATGGATGCCCAGAGAAAGGTAGACAAGAAAGAAGATAA